TCCCGTGTTATTATTCAAAGTTGATGTAAACTTTTTAATAATGTACTTTATCTACTACAAGTAGTTTGTTTCAATGTAATAATTATGTTGTTTGTGGAATCATTTATTGAAAAATTAATCTGAATTTTTCGATCCGTTACGATTATAAACTGAAGCAATATAAAAATGAGCCCCATTAACTGAGTTTTAAACATCAGTATGTCCGGTAATTACCTGCTAATGGAAACTCTGCTACACAATTCTTATTATTGAAACATGACCGGTAAGTTTCAAATTTGTCCGGTAAAATAAATTCTGTCCGGACATTTGACCGGCGAGAAAAAATCCTAGCGGAAAACCTGATGTGGTTAACTATATATATTTGTGTGCCCTCCTGGCTTCTTCCTCTTGTCTTCCCGGGCAGCGACCCGACCACATGTCCGTTTCTGCTGCTCATTAAAGCCAGCTTCATACCTTCATTGCACCGCCTCCGACTCCCTATCTCTCTGCACTACAATACTCTAATTTCCCCTCCTCTCTCCTCGGTTCCCCTCCTCAGTTCTCCGTTCGCATCTCCTGTGGGCGGCACCAAGTCTCGAGGATAGGAGTCGAGGAGGGGAAATTAGAGTATTGAGAAACCTCTCTACCGTCTCGTACTCCCTCCACACACATCGGAAAACGCACACACACACACACCTGGAAGGGGCAGTCTCTCCCTAACCCCTAGTTTCCACCGGTTGCGGCTGCGCTGCGGCGTCCGCAAGGATCGCGGCCACTCTAGTCAATGGGTGCTATTCCACCAGACGCGCCGCGTTACGGCTCAGAAGCCTCCCAGAAGCGTCTCGCCGCTGGGCTCCGCTCGAAATAGGATTGAAGTCTATTTTTCGACGCGACGCAGCCGTAAGGTAATGTCGGGCACAGGGTCGGCTTCATGGGGGGTCATTCGCGGGCCATGCCCCCCCAAATGAGTCACTGTGCCCCCCCAACGCAGGGTTGGCAAGCCTTGCCACTTTGCCGTTTTTTTCTTTTTTTAATCATATAAGTGAAAACGTTTCTACTAAAGGTTTTTTGTGTGAAATACATCAGAAATAAAGAATACAAATATAAAACACAGCCTGAGGTGTGCTGCTGCTCTCTGATTGGTGTGTTGCTTGACCAATGACCCCCGACCTTTTTTTTGTTATCATTACGTGGCTGTGTGTTTAGATGAAAGCCCAGTGGCGATCTGTCCATCTGTTATACTGATTATACAGTAAAGCCATCGAAAATAATATGATATACAGTACAGTACAAGTACATGGGTCTCTGTGTTTCATTCAAGCTCGGCTCTGTGTGGCACGAGCGCATTTTGTGAGTGCGCGAGTGGTAACGTGGAATGTTGTTAGCATCTGGTTAGCTAGCTATGCTAACGGATATAAAGGGCTGTTTCTACACCAAGGTGGAGGAGAGTCCTCTCCTGTCAGACTGAGAGGATCTTATAACGTCAGCTCAGTGAGGTAAGGACTCTCTCAGTGTTTAGATAGTTCACTTTAGTGTAGGTTAAGTTATCTCAGTGGGTCTCAAACGGTTTGGTGACCATTTATGTAAGTATTTTCGAGGAATACCTTTATATGATCATTATAGTTGTTAAAGAGAGAATACATGAAAAACGGGTACGAAATACTATTGGACAGTAACACAAGAATACAGTTTAAAAGGGGAATGATTAGTAAAATATCCATAAAGAAAAAGTAAATCTGTGTACAGTTCTGTTTCATATGGATGCTGAGAGGTGTAGGCTGTTCATAGATCTCTTCATTTTGCTCTCAAAGTGCACCAGATTGATGCATTTAACTTCAATATTTTAAAAATAATCTTCCCGGGGGAGCATGCCCCCAGATCCTCCTAGAGGTTAGGTCCACTCCCACCTAAAACATGTTCACATGGATAGGATACTAAATACATTTGCACACTTTGTATATGGTGGCCTATGTCCATATCAAATCAAATCAAGTTTTATTTATATAGCAAATTTTTCAACGATTTTTGGTCGAGCCAAAGTGCTGTACATATAATAAAAAATAACCTACAGTAAAGACACTTTACAACAAATACAACAGCACAGTTTGTGCAGAATATCAGTATGAGAAAACGACACCCTCTGTCCTTATATGTTTCTGTTTTGGTGGTCGTGCCACAACCGTGCATGTATGCACAAGTCATAGGTGCGCTATACAATAGCACTACACCCCTGCAATGTGTGTGAAAGACAATAGACTTTACAGCATGTTTTTTTAAATTGAAGTTGCGTTGGTGTTTGTGTGTTGGTTGTTGACGGCAGTGTGTGCCCTCCCCTTGGTAAATGATTGCCCCCCCATTCGATTTGTTCTAGAGCCGACCCTGGTCGGGCAGGCAGGAAGTGGAACGTTCAGAGCATATATAGCATATATATATACACACACACACACACACAAACACTCATTTTGCAGACCCTATCCCTCCGTAGTCGTTCAAGTAGGAGGAGAAATGCCAGCGTTCTCCTCCGGTTTACAGGCACTGTGTAAATTATATATATAGAATAATTATGATGATTTTACCACTAAAACACAGCAACACATCTTTGATTCATGTCGTTTATAACTGGGATATTACAATTATTATTAACTTTGTCTGTACAAAGTAGTCTGTCCAGGAAATATGCTCAAATCAACTGAAACTGCGAGCCGGCAGGCAAGACGCGCCGCTTCTGAAATGCTTCTGAAATGCTTCTGAAACGCGCCCGGTAGGGTATGACGCCGGAGGAGGCCGGACCAAAACCGCGGCGCAGCCGTTACGCGACGCAGACGGACCCGGTGGAAACTAGGGGTAACTCCCACCAACAACATTGCCTAAATAACTTTACAAATGTACTAAACTGTGCACATCTGATAACTGACATAACTATTCACTTGGAAACGCTACAATATTATCATTAATATTTACATTAAAACATTCCTTTGACACTTATAACATTACTTTGCAAGGCAAGCACAACCAAAATAAGTTTGCAAAAGCAGAATTTGAACACTGTTTCTGTGCTCCTACAATATTTGTGTATAATACCATTACACCCTAAGCGTACAAGTACACGAGCGATCGTTCACTGTTTCAACTGGCATGCTGTGGCATTGCACCTCATCACCACACCAGACAGACAGACAGACAGACAGACAGACGGACACGGATCGCGGTCGTTTACGCTGACTTGTGAGAAATCTTTCCATTTTCGATCTGTGTTGACATACTGAGAATTATAACAACATTAGCCAAGTAACAGTTTGTGCTTTAACTTACAACGACCCCTGATAGATCTAGCGAGAATGTGTATAAAATGTATATATAGATACATTTTTATAACAAAACAATGGGGTTGCTAAGCCGTTGCTAGGCCAATTGTTGGAGTTGATATAGCAACTCCAAGCTACCCCCTGGCGCCGCCCCTGTCCAAACACCACTTCAAACACTACGACATCGTGACACAACACTACCGTGGATATTTATAACACTTGTGACAATATGTACACAAAACTGACCTGCAAAACAGGAGAAATTATGAACAATCAAATTCTTAGCTGCTCGTTTGGCGGGTCTTGCCAGAATGGCAAGCCAACGGCAGCTCTGTCTCCACATCAGTCCGTTTACGGCAGGCGCAAATCACAACAAACTCCTTTACGGCAGTGTTACCCTGCCATCTACTGCCCCCTGCTGTCCATTGTTAAACAGGTTTCTAAAATGATATTAAATATAAAATTGTGATCACACACTTTGTGTGGGTCACATTCACATACTTATTTGATAATTAAAATGTAAACCGATCTTTTTCATATGGGTGTTTTAGAGTTGTACCCCCTAGATCAGGTCTCTAGTAATTGTGTGCTCAAAGTGCACCAGATTGAAGCATTTTACTTTAAAATGTTCAAAAAAAATCTTCTCGGGGGGGCATACCCCCGGACCCCCCTAGAGGATGTGACGTCCACCCCCCAATTCAAACATGTTCATACAATACTGAATACATTCGAAGCCATTTTAACGTATATTACTCTGTCAATAAGTTTCTGTTTTTGTAGTGTATTTGTCTTTTGTAGAGATTTTTCATTTATTCTTTATTTATAAAATCTCGCCTAAAATCTCGCCTAAAATCTCGCCTAGGGCAGCAAATTGTCTAGAACCGGCCCTGGTACTAGGCCTCAAGAGCCTTTCTTGTGCTGGCAGACACATAGAAACAAATTGGCGGGGCGCACTTCGCACGTGCATACACTAAAAAATTCCACGCGCTCCACGCTCACATTATGCTCGACCCACGTGCCTTAGCACCGCTGCTATGACTCCATCCTAGGGGAAACACTGCATTTAACCACACCTTGGAGCGCTTCTCTCCGCCATCCCCGCCGTGTGTTGCATGCATGTAGCAGCCGTGTGTGTGTAAACTGCCCCGCCCCCTCGCACACGAGAGAGATCTCGTCTGGAATGGAAAGATCAAAAATACACCGACCATAGACGAATTATTTTGTCTTTTTGCATATTAGAAACGAGTTGGCGACACTAAGACTGCAATATAATGTTTTTGTAGCAATAATACATATGACATATATTTTTTAAATGTCTCCACTACCGATAAAAATACCGATAACGTTGGACCTTAACGTCGCGTAAAACACACGTGATGACGTCACCAACGAATCGACGACTGAATTAGTTGGCAACTCATTTGGTCATCGATTTGAATCTATTAAGTCGATTAGTTGTTGCACCCCTAGAACGGACACATCTCGTGTGAACGGACACTATTCCGGTCTGACGTCAGCTCGGATGGAATCTGTATCTGCTCGTTGTAGCCCCGTTTTTAAAAGATTTGGGTACGGAGGAAAAGAGAGGGTTTCATTTTTTGATGCTGCGTGAGTTCCCCGACGCACCGGGGACACATATTTATGTATAAAAGACATCACAAAGTGTATTTTGCATGATAGGTCCCCTTTAAGTCTAATCTTTTCATTTTGTTGTAGGACTGCACAGAACAGACCTTCCAGAAGAAAACCGTTATGAAGAGGTGAGTGGACGTGTTTGTCATTTTTTTAATGCATATGTGTTATGTGGATTTAAACACTCAATGACAGATGTAACTCTCCTCTCTGTAGGCCATGTATTCTTATCATGGATTCCCTCAAACTTTCTCTTCATGAGCGCGTCTTCAAACTCTTACGGGAGTAAGTATGACAATATTTATCTGTGTCTTTATAGCTGCATTTGTGTGTTTTTATAAATGGATTAATATGCATTTCTTCCTCAGGTACTTGCAGTCTGAATGGGAAGTCCGTCGAGGTTCATCGAGGGACTTTAGTTCTGATCAGACGCAGAGCTCGCACTGTATCGTTCCCCTGCAGGACAACAGCAGCGACTGCGGCCTCTACCTGCTGCAATATGTTGAGAGTTTTTTAAAGGTAAAGAAGTTGGCAGCATCTCTTTTCATGTGGCTCAAATATAGGGAGATGTTTTATCGTGATATTGGATCAAAAACAACTCTAACCTTCCAGGTTTAGAACTCAGTGGGACATAAATGTTTTTTAGTGCACGTACAAAGTCATTAATTATTCTTCTGCCGTTCTCAGGACCCTGTGGTGCACTTTGATCTTCCTCTACAACTACAACGATGGTTTCCACGGCACCAGGTGCGGAGGAAACGAGACGAAATCAGAGATCTGGTACTTAGACTTTACAGAGAACAGAACCTGGATAGTAACTGATAGACTCATGAAGGAACTCTGCTGTTCCGTGCATCCATTCCTGTAGCCGTTACACATCACTGCTCATACTGAGCAATGGACATTTCCGATTACCTGAAAACATTTTCATTTGCATAAAACGCCGTTATTGATTTATTGTTTTCTGCATTCACTCACAAACAAAACACCGTTGGCTATCTGTTGATCCTCTGATTGAACATGAAAGCATAAATCATGTCAGAACATGTTTGTACACCCTGGGAAACTTTTAATGATTGTTTTTATGTGGCAAGATCTTTTTTTTGTTAATGAATTATTATTATTTATTTTACATTTAGTATCTAGGGAATTTGATTAAAGTAGAACCACTGTAAGGCCTAGTTTGTACAGCAGATTGTCAACCTTTATTGTTGAGTTCATTTGCTTTGCCAATATTTGTTTGACATCTGAGGTTATTTATTTCAGTGTCAGTCAGGGATTTTCTAATCAGAACTGTTCTTATTTTGCATTCTTTGCATCGGTACACCTTTACAGGATGAAAACAGGCACAGTATGAAAATCATTTCCTATTTTCCCCTTTCCATTAGAGAATGACATTAAGCCATAGGAACTGAAATCCAAACTTGAAGTAGCCGTTTATCTGTTCCCTTTTCAGGATAAAGGAAAACAACTATTTCTGTTTGTCACTCAGTGCCTCACACAGTTATCCAGTGCCAAGAAATTACTTTACATACTGACAATAAACTAGGATCAATCACTCACGTCTCTTTGCAACAAAGCTAAACTGTCATAAACATTTGTCTGTGACACTCTTTCTATCCCGATCCAACATGACAAATCTTAAGTCACAACGGACGTTAACTAAACATAAATACATTGGAAACATATAATTCACTATAATAATGTTGGACTACCAATAAACGACTTGTACTGTACGTTTGCATACAAATCGTAGTTCTGATATTCATATGGCATTATTAAATTATCTAGTCATTTGAGGTTTCTTGGCAATACCATTTATTATTTTCCAGATTTGACATACTGTCGAAAATGTAGGTTTCTTCTACATTGTAAACCACTGGTCTCAGTATATAGCTTCAGAAGTAATATGTTGGATCGGACTTTGGGACACATTTTTGCCCATCATGCAGCCCAAATAATAAGCTGTGTGTTGTATTCAGTAATAACACATATTTGTTGTACGTAAGAATTTTTTTTAATAAAAACACAAATTGCAAAAAAGTCATGTTCTAAAATGTAAAACCTACCTTAAGACTCATTGCAGTGTGTGCCTAATTTGTTCTCTGCAGAGAAGTAGTCTTGTATGAGTTTTTGTTCAAATGTTTGTCTCTTTTTAACACTTAATTTTATTTAGTTTTTTAGACATCGTGCTGGATGAATGTACTCTAGCTGATTCCCAAATATCTTTTAGTAAACCAAATAACAATCATTGTTCTGTCGATTCTTGGTCTTGTTTTTATTTTCTTCTGGAACCAGAATAGCGGCATTAAGCCATCCCAGTATGTATTCTAGTGCCAGTGGACAAGTGTGGGGTCCTGACTCCTGATTTCTTGTCCTACTTGGTAACAAGATGAGGATTAGAGGTGTGTAACTAAAACAGAGACTGAATGTGTTGTTAATCAGCTGATGTATTATTTTCTAGGTATTAAATGTTTTATTTTGGCTCCAGGTCTGCTTTTTTTTTTATAAGAGAAGCTAATAGGCTTGATTTTGTTCTGTACAATAAAATGCCAATATAATCTGTTCAGAGGTTTACATGGTCGGCTTAGGTGTATTTACTGTCTCAGCCGCTAAGATCTCCTCTTCCAGTCTGACCCTGAGTAATCCCCCTCCCATTCTGTATGGCAGTGTGTCGCAGTGTATATACCACATTTACACTCAATCTCAATGTATGAGGTACACTTAGCTAAAACCCATGCAGTTTAATAAATCAGTCTTGTAATAAATCCTGGACTACGTTATTCTGAGCTATCTGTACCTTTAACTTCAGAAAATGTCTGAAGGTAGAACAGTTGTATTACCCTAACACAGAAATACTTGCAAAACAATAACTATAATAGTTGTCAATTATTTCTATCTCTTATTTAAAAATATCCGCTCTAGCTCTGGTACACTTTTGAGCCTAGTTAGAGGCACGGATCTTGAGTTGAAAATGTCTGTCAGTCCACCACTTTGGTGGACATTTTACAGCCTGACTTGCAACATGTTTTAAATGCTAGATAGCAAAGGATAGCATGTTAACACACTTCATTTAGATTGAGAACAGTTTAAACATTTCAGCTGCTCAACACCAACATGTAAGTATTGCCATTGTGAATTTGTGTTGGCCATTGTCAGCCACTTTACCTGGGTTTGTTAGCCCTCTTGTCTTCCATATACGTAATGGCCCTACTTATAGAGGTCTCAGATTTCCCTTTTAAAAACAGGATAAACCCCGTAGGAGGAAGAGTGTGGGGTTAAAGGTTGACTAAGCTCATGACTTTCACTGCTGTCAAGATATACATAACTGAGAGGATTGTGATTGCCGCTCTTGAGCGCATCACCTCAGCTGCATGGCCAACCACATCGTCACTGTAATGTCTGTGAGGGAGTGGGACTGTGTGTCTGTGTTTTTGTTTTTTTTTTACAAAAAAAGCATCAAGTATTTGTAAGTAGCATCTTTCTACATTAGATCTAAGGTGATGCCCTTTTCTTTAACCAGCCAGATAAGCACTTTCTTTTGTCATTTGATCTTATTGCTTTCAAATGGATGTTTATTTTTCTTCCACTTAGAGTAGCAGACACATGTACGCCATTATGATCTTCAAAACCTGGATGTGTTTAATGCCATTTGCCTAAATAGGTAGAAGGGTGCTCTAAAAGTTTAAAGACCTGTCCTTCAACTTGGGGACCAGGATTAATCTTATTTTATTGGAAATGTGCTCAGTCCTTGCAGGACACATCCCAAAAAATCTTGAGTTAGTAAATAATTATAATATCTGTATGTTTTGATGCATCTTTTCGATTGCTGTTGATTGTGTGGCCCTTGTCACCTCCTTGTTTCTACCACACAGCTACCTCTCTTCACAGTGTTGCTCCAGTAACTTCTCGGGAAGTTCTTCTAAAGGGTTTAGAGTAAACAGGATTAGAGAGCATTAAAAAATCCTCCTCTCTCCAAGAGCCATCTGCCTTTCTACCTCGGAGCTGTCCTCTCAGCACCATGACCTACACCTCATTTTAGCTGTTGAAGAAAGCAGGAAACCATTGTGCCATATGGTCATCACATGATTTCTTCACAAACTTCTGTTATTTTTCTGCGTCTGGAGATTTATGAACTATGCAAACTTGTAAGAAGCTGCTTTTGAGAGGACGTGCATATCTACTTGATCCTTTTCCAAGACGGATTTAAACACAATCACGGAATAGACATGAGCAACCTTTTCAGGAGATGTGTTTTCTCCTCTGTTGTTTTTAGTTTTGTGGTCTTATTTTTGGACATAAGGACAGGTATGTATAATAGTTAACTTTTAAACTAAGCACCCAAACAAGGGTCAAACATTCAATCTTAAATGTTTTTTTTTTGGTACCCCAGATGCAACAATGGAGGGTTCATCTATGGGTTACCTGAGTGTGCCCTACAGTCAGGAGCTTTCAGAAGTTGTTGGTGCACCCGATGTGGAGGTTTCTGATGAAGGCCATGAAGTTATCTCTCGGCGGAAGAGGAACATCCTTTTTCCAAATGGAGTCAAACTCTGCGCACAAGAGACCGCAGAGCAAGTTGTTGCAAACCACCTGAGCTACTTTAATCTCAGAGGTAAGACTGAACATGAATGAGAGTGGATCTCTGTGTTCTGTGGATGGACTGCTGCTGTTGTGTTAGGTCCTCACTCATCAACAACAATCACCTCACTTCCTAATCATTAAGAAGTAAGGTAATGCAAATTAAAGATCCTGCAAATCTCTATAATGGAAAACTTTATCTAAATAAGAATATAGTTTCTCAAAATAATGATTAAGTATTTCAAAATGAGGACTTAGTTCTCAAAATAAATGCAACTCAAATGCTAATTGTTCTGTAAGAATGTTTTATGCTAGTTTAATGCTAGCAGTGGCTAATGTAGCTGCTAGCTTCAAGCTAAAATCTGGTAAAGGCTACAAAAGGAATGTTAAATTGTTCTTCATAACTCCACACCTTCAGATTATTTTCCATCAAATTTATATTTTTAAGCCCTAATAGTTTTTTTTATCTTGCGTGACATTAGGCTACTTGAGTCAATTGTATTAGATTTCATACTGCTCTATGTGTGTATGTACTTTAATCAGTGCTGTTTTAAACGTTTAACATACAAATATACTTCACTTAACACTTAAACATCTAATGGAAGACAAAATGCATTTTTTTATATTAGAAATGTCCTTCACATAGTTCTGGTGTAGTAGCAGAAAGTGCAGAGGTGGACATCTCCAACTCTGGACACATAAAACCAAAACAGTCTGCATGGCTAGATTCCAGTGGTGGCATGTAATTAAGTTCATTTAATGATACATATGCTGTACAGAAGTGCTTGTACTAAAGTATTTTTCAATCTACACTGCTTTATACTATTACTTCTGTACATTTCAGATACAAAATGTGTCCTTTTTTACTATACTACATATATGTACCTGCACGTTTGTATTTTTACATGGTGATATTAATGTGGCACAAGTGAAACATAATAATAATAATAATAACTTTAATTTATATAGCACCTTTCATTAACCCAAGGTCGCTTAACAAGAAACATAAGGACAAGACATTAAGACATAAAACAGGGGGCAGAAATGGAACATGTATTAAATGCACCACTGGTAGATAAGAAAATATGTTTGTGTGCGTGTAATTTGTGTTCTTAACGCCTAAACAAATACTTTCAGTACACCAGGGGTTGATAGTAGTTGTGAAGCAAAATATTAAAGAGAACATTTTTAAAAACCAACATTCTGATTCATTACTGATTAAGAAACACTGTGTAATGCAGTGGTTCTCAAACTTTTTCGGTCAGGCCCCCCCTTTGGAGAAAAAAAAAAGTCGGGCCCCCCCAACACAAATAGTCAGGCTCAGTGGCGGCGCCAGAGATTTATTTTGGGGGTGCTGTGGGGTAGCTTGACCTTTCATAGAGCGTGCTCAAACATTTAGGGTTTCCCATTAATGTACCGGTCGCTACAGTGGAATTTTCTACTGCAACACTCCCCACGCACATACACTATGTACCCGCGACTGTTACAATGAAGGCTCGATATCAAGTCTCGGCATATAGGTGTAAGCAGGGGTAAAGTGCTATTTTTATAGGTGGTGTGTGGACCTCACATAGGGGGGTCCGGGGGCATGCTCCCCCGGGAAGATTTTTAAATATTGAAGTTGAAAGCATCAATCTGGTGTCCTTTGAGAGCAAAATGAAGAGATCTATGGATACATCTCTCAACACCCAGATGAAACAGAATTGTAAACAGATTTACTATTTCTTTATGGATATTTTATAAATCACTCTTTTAAACTTTATTCTTGTTTTACTGTCATATATTATTTCATAGCTGTTTTTCATTTATTCTCTTATTTTTTTATAACTATAATGATCATATAAACGTGTGCCTCGGAAATAATTGTTTACATTAATGGTGACCAAAACGTTTGAGACCCACTGAGATAACACTGAGAGTCCTTTAGCTCAGAGTCTCTCAGTCTGACAGGAGAGGACTCTCCTCCACTTTGTTGTTAAAAAAACTCCTTATATCCGTTAGCGTAGCTCGCTAGCACCAGAAGCTAACATCAACGATCTCCGGTACCGGTGCGCTATCTCTCTCTCTCGCTCACGCACGCACACAAAATGGCTCGTTCCACACACACACACACACACACACACACACACACACACACACACACACACACACACACACACACACACACACACACACACACACACACACACACACACACACACACACACACACACACACACACACACACACACACACACACACACACACACACACACACACACACACACAGAGCCGAGCTTTAATGAAACACAGAGACCCAGACGTAATAGTACTGTATCATATTATTTTCGAATCAATAATTTTTCAAAATATGATTTTTTTTTTTTTTTTATAATCTTTTTTTTTTTTTTTAATAACCATTTTTCCTCCTGGTCTCTCGCGCCCCCCCTGTCATGCCTCTGCGCCCCCCACTTTGAGAACCACTGGTGTAATGTAAGTGCGTTTGAGTGGGCAGAGATCGAGCTGTTATTCCTGTCAATGAACTCCTGGACAGCTAGACTAGACAGGGTGTCAGTGCCAACAGACAGTCTGTGACGGTCTTGTGAAAAGTGGAGGTGTCTTATGTAAGACAGATTTGGATTTGGAGGTGACCACTAGTGTATCAGGTGACAGACAACGGTGATTACTGAAGAAGATTGGAGCACAGGTTTCATCGACAACCTTGGAACAGTGCCCAGTAGTGACAGTAACTCATGTAAGGGAGTTATGTCATGTAGTTAATTGGCTTCCATTTATATGGCAACTACTCAAAGAGCTTTACCCTCACCTTCATACACTGTTGGCAGAGGCTCCCACACTAGATAACTCTCACACGCAGACTCAAAGGGAGCAATTCAAGGATGAGTATCTTGCCAAAGGACACTTTTGACATGTGGATTGCATGGGCTGGGGAGTAAACAATCGACTTCCACAAGCTGACAATTGACATTTTAGGTCAACATGCCACTAGCGATGTGGGCCTTTGTTTGGGCCTCAGAACTTCCAGCCAAAAATATCAAGGTCTATCTTTTGGATTAATTAAAGAAGATCTTATTCCACTGTTAATTAAGTATTTCTTGCCTGAGGACGCCTTCAAAATAATTGAATTTGTTTGTTTAAAGCTGAGGTGTCGCCCCAACCTCAAGGATTTAAAAAACAACTATGAAACGAGTTCTTAGATGTGGACTTGACAGTCGTTGTTATGTCGACTCAGGTCTTTTTTTGATGACTTCCAACTTGACATGACAGAAATTTAATTATTTAAGGCTTAATATGGACATGCAATTGAAGACCCATGACTTGACTTGAGACATGATGACTCTAATGACTTTCTGTGTTCATTTAGGTTTTCAGTTTAGATATTTTTGACGTTTTAGAACATTATTTAAGAGAATCTCTGTAACTCTGTAACTGAAATTGTTATTTGGACCAAATTACTTGATTGACATTTCTAAAAGCTTGTCTTTCTCTATTCTGTCCAGTGTGCCAGGAGACAATATGGGAAGCTTTCAAGATCTTCTGGGACCGCCTCCCCGAGCAAGAGGAGTACCAAAGCTGGATGAACCAATGCCAGGAGGGCACAATCACAGCACAATATATTGGCAGCCACTTTAGCCAATCAGAGGAGCATCAGGCTCTGGTTAAAAAGGTAAGATGCTTTCTTTTTAAAGTATATTTAAGAAATACAGAACATAATGTATAACTTTGCTTTTTTTTTCTATTTCTAGAGAATGTCAGAGCCAGGTTTGAAAAGGTAAAATAAACCACTAATTTATCATTTCAATCATACATTAATTGATCTCATCATTAAGGCTATGTTTTGTAAATGCTACTTTTCTTCCCATTCTCAGTAGTGATGAGCCCAACCGGTCCTGGCAACATATGTGCAGGTAAAGTTATGAAGTCTCTTCCACATTGTCACTCGTCTGTTATTACACATGGCTTCATGTCAAGCTAAGCTAACGAGTTGCTGGCTGTAAATCATATTTAGCGTATAAATGTGAGAGTGGTTCCAATATGCTTATCTAACTCTTAGAAAGAAATTGAAGGTGTAATTGTATTTCCCAAGTTGTATATTTTCTTTTATTCTTATAATATTTTTAAGAAATTACATATTTTCTATGACCCGGGGGCAGCTAGATCAACCTTTTGCTAAGTTAAAACAACTCTTATCAACGGAATAAAAAAAGAAAAGTAATTAAAAATGAAATAACATATATAAATGTAGCCACATTTGTAGACCCTACTTGTGTGTCGACATGTATGTGTTTGTGTGCTTATTATAATTTAGTAATATAATATCAGCACAGTTTCAATAATCTTTTACTTTTCACAGCACTCTGACACAGCGAACACCGGAAGCCCTTGAAGCTCCTGAGCTAGGTCAGTGACACTGTCAGCTTCAGGACGTCATGTGACTTTAATCACATAAGCATCCTCTTGTATCTGTACTTGTGCAAAAGCATTGTTGCTACAGGGTCAAACCATTATCTTTTGTGTGTTTCCATGTAATTATTCCTACAATATTCCAGCTTTCTATGCAGAACGTAGGTGAATCTCTTCTGTGTGTTTGGAGATTGAGCTAAGCAGGTTGGGGTCAGGGCAGTCTAATCAGGAATCACAGCACCTGCCAAAGTGCTTGAAATAGACAAGCACTCCTTTATTCAATCCTTTTTTTACACATGAACTCAACCACCCAGAGGACACAGTTGAAGGAGAGGAGGTGGAGGAAGCAGCCGCCGATGTCCCAGAGGTAGAGGAGAATCCAGTGAGTGCACACACACATTGTTTACAGATTCATTGTCTTTCACTAATGTGCACATGCAACTATAAGCCATAGATGGAAGAAGTACATTACATTTGGCTGATGCTTTTATCTAAAGCTTGTTACAATAAGGGCAATAAATAATAAAGATACACACTCAGAACAATAAGAAAGATGCAGATATAGTTGCTTCAAATAAGCCAGACCATTGTAACATTGAAAAGAATATTATGTTATCCTGTTTTCATCCCTAACAAAACACATGTAAGGGCATTTTAATGTTATAGTTTGTCATTGTGGAACCAATTTTGGATATTTATCTAGAATACTGATTAGGTTAGTAGTACAGTACTGCATTCTATCATACAAGTACATATGTCTTTATGTGTAAAAAGTAAATGATAACTGTGACTGTTAAATAAACGAAGAAGATGAAAGGTAGAATATTTGCCTCTGTGTGCGTGGGATCTAGTAAAGCACAATTGTGTCAAATTATACTTTATTTTTTTACATTCCATCACTGGATGTAACTGGGTCTCTGTCTCTTGGTACAGTTGAACAACGACATCGCCGTGCAGCCTCTGACCCCCACGATGCTGGAGCAGGTGGTGGAGCTGAGCATCCTCCTGCCCGGAAAATCGTACAGCAACGACCTGGAGAATCCGACCAGCTCCCAGTACCAAACACTCAGCAGACAGCTCGCTCAAAAGGTTCCTATCTGGCTCCTTATCCTTCTCTGTCTGACTTTACGACTCCCCTTAGTGCTACTGTATCTTGGCTCCAAAACGGCGCTCACTATTTATGGTCTGTGATTGATGCATTGTTAGCTTTAATAACACACATTTAAACAGCAGCAGTAGTTTCACTGTTAGGGCAGAGTTCAAAAACGCTATGTGCTGAAAATACAGTGTTAAGACGTGTCATGGGAGTAGATACACTTTTGCACAGGTACTCTGTTTGGAAGCAGATTCAGTGGTTTTACAGGTACTCGGAAAATTCAGTAAATTTGTTTCAGTGCTTTTCCCTGGCATCATAAACAAAAGCTTGATTTTATGCCTAAAAGGGAAGCCATTTCTCTTAATCCCTGACTTTTTTTTAATTCCCAGTGGATATCTGCTATACACATAAGTATAGATATAGATACACATAAACTGACGTGCCTTGTAGAGGTTATAAGTGTGAGTGTAGTGGAGGACAAGGTAGTAAAAATAATGTAGGCAAGGGGAAATTGGAAGACAAGCAAGAAGACAAAGGCCCTGGGGATTTTCTTGCGTCCTCTCTCCGATGTATAAAATAAAGTGGGTTAGTGAGTCTGCAGAACAGAACAGTGTATGGATTGTTTTTTCTTTGTGCCTAGAAGCAGGGCCCTGTAGACCAATAAAAAGAGTTGACCACAGTGCAGCAGTCTGCCTCCAGAGGAAAATAATCTGGGACACAGCACACAGGACTCAAAACGTTCAGCTTCTTTGAACAAAATGAGTCCTTGGGGAACAACAAATCTGAATTATTTTGCCAAGCAAGTCCATTGTAACCTTGTAAAAAAAGAAACAAACTCCTCCTGTGGCTTGTTTTTTAATCTTTTTTGTCCTTACAGATTGAGGACGCTCTGAAGGGGCTTCCTGGATTTAAGAGTGTGTCTGTGAAGGACTTCAGGTCAGTCCCTTTGCTACAGTTTTTGCTGGATCTTGACAAAATAAATGACCAAAACTACCTCGACTCGTAGCACTAACAGTATTTCAATCTCCTTGTTTTATGTAGGCCTGAGAAGGACGACGAAGGGTGAGTCATCTTTACTGGCCGTGGTAGTTAGACCTGGAATATTCTTGTATTTAAGCCCACAGATCCCTATCAACCATTCGTTAGCTATGGCACACTGTGTGAGTGTGTGTAGAGTCACCTTCCTCTCACACTGTATTTACCTGTGAGCGTGGGCACATGTTAAGGTGTTTCAGTAGTTTCCTGTTGATTTTAGTGTGGTCAATCACATGTTAAGTGGGATCAGGATGGGTTCACCGGAGTGATCATGTGCTATTCTATAGAGCAGATAATCCGGGCTTTACGACCGCGCCGATCAGCCTCTGAGGGAGTGATGGAGAGGAGAAGGGTTAGATATACTGTAAAAGAGATGTGTCAGGGGAGCAAAGGTGAAGACAAGCATAAGACAGGAATTTAAAAACATATAAATAAATGGAAGGAATACAATTTATTATGTGTTCTTGGTGGTGGAAGATCCTTTAGTACGGCCGAGGTACCAACCAATACCCTATCGTGATAACATTTTTGGAAATAGCCTTTTGCTTTCTGGCAAAAAGTTAGCTTTGAAGATTGATGACATCTACACATCTGTAGGGTGTTAGCTTAGCGGCAGCCGGTTAGCTTAGCGGCAGCCGGTTAGCTTAGTTTAGCATACAGACTGGAAACTTCCGATCATGTAGGGCACTGGCTGACACGCACCGGCTAAATTAAAGCCTCCACTAGCTGGAAGCAACACACACAGCTTTGTCGCCGTTGGTTCGGTGTGTGCTGTTTTGGTCTTCTCAGCCAGATGGAGAACTCTTGCCTGGTTATCAGGCTAAATCCACCTAGAAACTCCTCTATAGCATTTCAATGTGTTCACCTATCAATGTGGAGCCAATTTGACCAACTATATAAAGTTATGAAGTTTACATTTTTGTTTTAAGTTTTGAAACAATACAATTATAATAACTTACATTGTTGTAGTTGTAAAGTACAGCAACATCATGCAATCCACAATATCCAGTTAAAAAATATTCTGTATAATGAAAGTAAAATCTAGGGTGTTTTTATAAAGCACTTCATCATTTGCATGAATGACGGGGAAGCAGAAGGTAAAAGGAAGGTAATTTTCTAAGCTTATCTTTACAATTTGTCATGTTTTCACAGTACTTAAGTAGATGTACTGACCTACAATCCACCCTGGCTTGCTAGAATTATATATAAATAGCTAAAAATGTACTTTTGCCATTTGTTTGCAAACATACGTGCATACTTATGCCTTCTTACAGTGATGCTGTAATTAATCTTGAATTCGCTGCTAACTGCAGACCTCACAGCACAGGAAGAGTAAAGATGTAAAAGTCTGTATGAAGCTAAAGTGGGAAAATTCCACTTGGGACCGAGAGGCACGTGCTCAGCCGTCCGCCAGAAACCCGACAAACTAGGTCAGATTGGAGGGCTCCAAGTTGTCAAATGAAGAATGAAAGATTGGATTTTTTCAGGGCTTGGAAACAATTATGAGGTTTCCTTATTTATTATGATGATATTGATCATGCTGCTGACTCAGCTTTTTTTGGGGCCTACAGAGTAGAGCTTCTACATTCCAAAGAGGAGAAAATTACCCCAGTCGTTAGTCATCTGCGATCCCGAAACAACTCTTTTAACAGGGTCGACGTTAAATCACAATAATGCTTGAATGATTTTCGTCTTCTTTGACTTTTTTTCATACTCTCTTATAATAAATGTGTGTATAGGATTGTGGCTATAGGATACATGTAAAAATAGTGTAGGTGCATTTTAGAAATTAGCGTATTTATTGGGAAATGCCCTTACAACGCTTGGATTGGACAAATTAAAACCTTCTAATCTCACTCAACAACTAATATTGTGCTAGAAATGTGCGGAATTGTCCAGAAGTCCCATAGATGTAAATTAATGTAACACCTACAGATATATATGAAGATGCTTATGTAACTTGTTATGTGCATTAATATTGAATTGTCCCTGTGCAGGGGCGGTGTGGTGGTGGACTACGCTGTCACAGTGGTGGTGGATGGATCAGGAGTGAGCTTGGAACAACTGGACTACCTGACGCTGCAATCCAACTGGGTGGAGAACTCGTACCGTGAAGTCATGGAGCTCCCCACTGTGGTGTACGCCATCAACGAGGTCAAAGACATCATCACTGAGGCCCTGCATAACAACGAGCTGGACACTGTTAAGACCAGCGGAGGCCAAAGCTCGTCTGCTGGTATTCCCCGCACTGTAACCGAACACACAAATGCCCCCATTACGGCTATTTATTTAATTGGCATGGCAGCTGGGAACACATTGGCAGAGTTAGTGCGTGCAGCGCAGGGCAATCGGCCAAATGTCATATCAAATACAGACACAGTAGACCCAACATTGACATTAGAACATACGCTACACCACTTGAGAAAACATTCCAGGGTTTTAATAGTCTCATCTGTTTCTTATTTGTCTGAGGAGAGAAGAAACGTATTTAAAAGGAGTTTCAACTCAGAAGTTAATGAACAAAAAACAGACTCATCAGTTACAGGACCCATGTATTTACACTCAAATCCTTTCATTAAGTTGAGGAGAGCTGAGCAAAAGAAAGGATGTTTGGAATCTGAGCCTTTTTCTATACTTTAATCCTTAATTTTGGCTCAAACCAAGCATCTCTTTCTGATTCAGGTGTTTACCGGATTTATAATGTACAATATTATTAGGAAAAAGTTAGAATTGTGGCACCAGAAGACACACAAGTAAAGAAACACTCAAATGGTCACACAGGGAGATCTAAACTTCGACATCTGTTAGAGTTACTCAGTAAGTAGGTTAGCTACCTCCTACTTCTGGCCTAGGTCCTTCTCCAGAAATGTGAAGAAATTGATAATGTCTATAGCAGCTTTCTTCCTCCTGTGTGATTCCTCCCTGCTCATGTTTTGGAGAGAATGCGTGTCATTAGTTTACTGTGTTAGCGAGCTTCCCTGGAGATGCAGCTAAGGCTCACTTTAATTAGAAGCTTTGAATGTGAAATAATGGCTAAACACTCTCATATGGCTGACATGTGGGTCTGGGGAACCTAAAGGCACCACTTGGCTTTGTTTTTCTGCTTTAGGGGAGATGCAGTAATAGCCTTGGCCCCACAGCGGCTGATATTCAGTCCAGATTTTTGCACTGATTTGTAGATATTTCCCCCCTCAAGGTAATGTCAAAACGAAGGCTGTCAGTGCTGAAATGGAATCGGGTTAAAAGGATTCTGCAGACTTCTGCAGCCTTGATTATTTTATCTATATGGCACATGCACATGTTGTGTGTCAGTGTGTATTAATATTTGTTTCCCCCACCTGGTTCCACAGTGTCTGAGGTCCCTACCGCTGCAGATGGAGACACGGTCAGTTAACAAGTCACCTCCACTATCATGACAGCATCTCTCTTTGGGGGCTATCCAGCTGCTTGGAGCGGATAAATCCCTTTTGTTTAAGGAAGCTTGACGCCTGTAGTACTGATGTTGTGAAAACTTTTAACTGGCTGGAGATGTTATCAGGACCAGTGCAGGTAGGGGATGAGCCCACCAATGAGGATGAAGCGAGGCTTTGAGGATTACTTTGACTTTTGCTATAATAATCCACTGCTATTCTGGGGAAAAAAGCTACAGAGCGCCGCACTACTGAGAGTCAAGAGGCGAGACAGCACATATGAGTTTATTCAGACAAGTAATAACATCTTTAGTCTGTGCTGTCTTGTGGTTGACTGTGCACTTTGATAGTAATCAGAGTTTGGGTTGCACTTAATGTGTCTGCCGGTTCACTTTGTAGCCCAGCTCCCTAAGTGATTAATTTGACTCATTATATGAGTTGGGAGAGTTTGGAAAACTTCTCACCAATAATTTATTTGCAGGCAAGAGCCCAGAGCTTCTGTGCCACCGAAGCACTTTTCTGCCCCTGTTCGATTTGGTACAAGTTAAATTCAGCTGCTGTTTTTTGAGTTGAGAAAAACAAGGGGCTGAAGCATGCCACCAAAATAATTATAGACTTTTTCCAGTTCAGTCGACTTGCCAATACTGCTTTATAGCCTGTTATTAAATAATTATTTCAATTATTAAATAATCCATTTCAAATGTATAATAATGTTTATCTGTAGAGTTACAGTTACTTTCTTGTAGAGTGAGAGTCTTTTAGTTTTTTTAGGTTAGCATAGTGCTCAGAACAAACACCTTTCCCAGCTATATTAACCAATTTTCCCCTGGGATTATTGAAGTATTTCTGATTCCGAATATTCAATTTCCCTGTGTCTACCTTAAATTTAATTCATTTTTTGCCTAAACATTTCATTTTAGACACAAGCGTTGTACCTACTATACATTAAATGGAAACCACAGAGCAGCCACAGTAGCTGTTGTTGCATGACACACTCAACAGTGCCAATACCTTTAGATAATGAACTCTGTTTGTGATGCAGAATACTGCTGCCGATGAGCCCCCAGAGGTCACGATCCTAGAAGAGGACGTAGAGGATGTCGACAAAGTCGGCGTCCTGCCTGACGTCTCCGAAACCAACAGAGTGGAGAACAACGAAAACGACATCATTATCCTGGAGGAGAGTGCAGTTGTGTCTCCTGATTCTGTCAATACAGATAGTGAACTTGAAGCTGATAGTAAGTGCTTATACCTAATATAAACATTTGCAGTGTATCCCCCTGTTATGCTTTTTCCCTACAATGATACTTCTATTGTTTTCACTTCGACTGCACTTCCTCCTGCTTTGTTTGCATTGAAATAACTTATGAAACTGATCATTTTCTGCACTTCTCACTTCTCATTTTGTTGATGTTAACCAGATAGATCTGTGGATCTTTACTTAGATTGCCAGTTTCTATAAAAAGAGAGATTGAGACAATTTTTTTCTGTATTTTTTTCCAAGGCATTGCAGAGGAGGGTCTGTTACTCGGGGACATTGTGCAGACTCCTGCAGTAGAAACCCCCGCCGCAGAGGAGCTCCCAGCCGAGCTGTCGGAGGTTACACTTCATGAACCCCCGGTGGATGAAGAGGCCTCTGGAGTGGGCACAGACGACCTGAATAACCTGCTCGAGCCACCTGCAACCACAGAAGAAGAAGAAGTAGAGTCTCTTGAGGAGACTGACCCAGAAGATGGGCTGAGAACGGAAGATGTCGCAATAAATTCAGAAATCCCAGAGTATAATGAGATTTCCTCAATCGCAGCTGATACCACAGAGGAAGAAGAAGAAGGCCTGTCTGTCCTGGTCTCATCTCCTGAGACTAAAGAGGAAGCGAGTGAAGCACCAGAACCGTTGGCAGAAGAAACAGGTGAAGAATCTGTGGAAGAACAACCAGAAGAACAACCAGAAGAACAACCAGAAGAACAACCTGCCGAAGAGGAAGACAATAATGTGGTGCTGACCATTCCTGAGGAACCTGTGGCTGAAGAAGGTGGCGTGGAGGAAGCAACAGAGAACGAGGTAGAAGAGGCTGCACCTGAAGCTCCTCCTGTGGAGGAAGAGGGCCCGGCAGCTCCAGAGCTCTCCACAGAGGATCTGACAGAGGATGAGATCCTACTGGTCAACGTTGATGAACCAGAACCACTAGTGACGGACTCTCTGAACCCGGTCCAACCCACTGCTCTGTCCCCAGAGAAGGAGTCGCCCTTCACCCGCATCTCTGATATTGACACCGCCCTGGAGGAACAACCTGACATCATCATCCCTTCACTGGTGGAGGTAAAGCAAGAAGAATTGAATTGAAAAAAGTGGCAAAGTAATGCCCAATTTTATATAATAATAAAATAACAATAAGAACATATACTTTATTGATGTTACTACTACTTCTATTACTAACAATAATAATCATTCAAAAATAGATCAATAATAATAATAGTTTGTGTTTTTACGAAATCTCAACAGAATATATGATTTTTTGAAATATTTAAACGGATAAAACTTAAAAGAAAACATTTTGTGGAACGTATCTGAGCTTTAATATTGCTGTAGGTCCCCAGTTAAAAGTACAATGTAAATAGGTCAAGTTTTATTTATAGAGCACTTCATATAACCAGGGCTAGGTCAATCAGTGCTTTTACATGTAATCAGCAGGATCTTATAGCATCATCTAAATTCAAGAGGAAGCCAAAGAAGGGATTTAAGAACTGCTGGTTCTTGTTAATAACTTGGCAAGTCTCTCCTTTTTTACTGCCCCAGATCCAGACCACTGACGGAGGCTTGGAAGGTGCCACTAATGGAGACAGCGACTATGATGTGATCCATTATGGTTATGAGTTGATTAACCACACAGAGGAGGGCAGCACTGGCTTTCCGTTTGGTGTACACGGCACAGACCAAGTCAGTATCGCCATGCCTGTGAACCCCGGACGAGCACTGATGGTGTTCTTCAGCCTGAGGGTGACCAACATGATCTTCTCAGAGGATCTCTTTAATAAGAAATCCCCAGAATACAAAGCTTTGGAGCAACGATTCATAGAGCTGGTAAACTCCTGTCATTTACGGCACTTGATTATCAGCATTCCCACTGTTGTGTTGTAACATCAAACCCTTTTTTTGGTATATTTTCCCAGCTTGTGCCCTACCTGCAGTCCAACCTGAGTAACTTTGAGAACCTGGAGATCCTGAACTTCAGGAACGGGAGCATCGTGGTCAACAGCCGGATGAAATTCGGAAAACCTGTTCCACAAACCGTCACCACCACCGTCTATCTGATCCTGGAGGACTTCTGTAACACAGCCTACCAGACCATGAACCTGGCCATCGATAAGTACTCACTGGACGTAGAGTCAGGTTGGTTCTCACGATATATACACTGTGTTTTGATCTAGACAACTGTGATATCATGAATTGTTTAATGCTTGTTTTAGATGTTTCTTTAAGGAAAAACAAGTTGTTGCTTTATGCAGAGAGTTCAATTAGGGCCTATTAGGGCTGTACCCGAATATTCGTTCGTTGGAGTACTATTCGGGTTTCAAACTGTGAGCCCAGTGGCCGTCTGCGAGACAGCGAGACACAGCGAAACCCAGCCCGAAACCAGCCCGAGCACACACACACACCCGCAGCCTGGCTGGGAGTTTGTGTGTGTGCTCACACACCGACTCACAGCCTCGCTGCGTTCCACCGTTTTAGGGAGGAAAGATCGGCGGAGCTGCAGCTAAGAAGAGATAGAGATTGCGGTCGGATAATCCAAAAATCAGCTCCTAACGTCTAACCCTATCGTCTATTCCTTGACCTCTGAGTGAAACGTCACGGGGTTAAGGAATAGTGGATAGGAGAATTCAAAAGGACTTAGGAGAAGAGACTGTGGTACTTTAGAGAATCCGACTGCACTTTCACTATCCGACGTGTTTATGATGCGCCAGCGGACGTCATGAATGTGCGTCTGCTGCTGTGGGGAAACTATGGAAACTACAGTTTTCCATACAGCGGACTACAACATGGATGTTTAATAAGAACGAGGGACTACTGTAAACTCATCTAGAGACTCTGCACCGTGCTCTGATGCTGTTGTTTTATGCTTTATGAACGGGGACAACAGAGAAACATATTCTTCATGACCAAAGTTGGAATTGAAATAAAAAAGGAAAGTGAAACTTCTGCTCGTCACCCTCTCCCTCTGGTCCACATTAATACAAATGATCCCAATACGTATGATTGTATGAACTATTAAAATATCTTAAAATCAATACAAATGTATTTATTATAAACGTTAGTCTTTAACATCTATCACTGTGTATATCACCATTCAAACATCTTTTAAAAGTTGAACAAACCCCACACAGCTCAGTGAGATGTTGACTTTATTTGATCATTTCAGTAAAAACTAACGTTCATATTTCTCTTTTTGATTATAATACTGATGAACGTTCAAAACAAAGCACTTTGGCAACTTACCACATACGTTTTAAAATGCTTAATAAGCACCGTAACTTTCATGATATAATTTCTCGGTCATAATCGTTTGTTTCCGTGAACGGCCGACTGTTGTGTGACGGCAAATGCTGCGGCCGCAAGGCATTGTGGGGCAGCATTTTCTCCTCTCCTCTCGGTGAGGGAGGTCCAGTGGTTCCTAAGCTAAAGGAGGTTATAAAGGAAGTTTGAAACCTCCTTTCCTATCATCTAGAGAATTCGAACGGCACTTATCATGGCTGCCAGTGAGGGAAAGCTAAATGGACTATTCGACTTCACCCTGAGTGTGTGTGTGTGTGTGTGTGTGTGACGTAAGGTAACGGCTCCACGGATTGGTCCATTTGGACCAATGGGTCCATTTGGGTATGGGCAGGTCAGTGTACCCAGGAAGTAAACAATGGAAAAAGATAAATGTCCAATGAGGCGTTCTGGGGCAGCATAGACAGGTATTTTCTGTGTTAGAGTTTTACTCGCTACAGGGTGTACTTTGAGGGTTTGTGACTTTGCAGACCGTTTACATGCATAAAAAGCTACATAACACACAAGGGGACGGGTAATAACCGGAAAAGCATGACATGGGTGGGACCTTTAAGACTTGAAACTAATAGAAACAGCTTGCCTGGCTACGTCAGAAGGTGAAAATATCTGCCACACTGCATCTGTAAAGCTGGAAAATCTCTGCACATATTTATCTGCACGGATATAACTTGTTCGCCAAGGAGCTTTAGACGTGCTGGTAGGCAGATTATGTGGCGCCAATCTTCTCATCTAACTCTCAGTAAGAAGCCGTAATTCCCAAAATGATGAACTATTCCCTCAACAACTGTAATCGGAGCGCATTGTTGTATAAAATAATCTCAGTAAATCAGTGTTGAATGACATGCTAGTGTGTCAAAAGGCCTGGGAAAGCAGGTGTTAGATCCTTGTCGTGACACTGGTATCGACAGCTGGGTTGAGATGATCAAGGCTTCCCTGGACAGCAGCCAAGTTTACATGTATCATTACTGCACTTTGACCGGCTGATTACTGCCTGCAGCTCTGGTTTCACATGTGTGAATTATATTGCCATTTTTTTAACTAGGGAGCAAGCATGAAATCTTCTGTGCTCTTTAAACCTTTTTGCATTTCCTCATGTGGTATCGGTCTCCAGGCTTCTGTGCGTGACACCATCAGCCAGCTTGAAATGGGCAATTTATGATAACAGTGATACATACTTGTGTTGTGTTTACAATCATTACTGAGCTGTCATAATCTGTCTGATCACTGCCAGCGCTCATTGCTGGATCCCAGCATGCATTAGGGCTGCATTAGAATGGAAGGAAGAATTACCTTTGTATGTGTCTGTGAATATCCTTCTACAAAAAAAAACATATCTGAAATACTAAGAGTCTTTTGTGCAACAATGGACTATTATTTTGTTGAATTTAATAATTTTTTGGGGTTGAAGAAACTAATATCCCTGTTAATCTAAAGGTGCATAGCAGAACTCAAAGGGTGAAAAATGCTGTTGTTTTTGGTGTCATTTAAAGTTATTTAACCTTTTGAGAAATATGTGTATATATTGAACTTTCAAATGTTTTGAGAAAGGGTTAGGGTATAATATACTCTCCTCTTTAAAACGGTGATCACTACATGAGAATTTAACAACCTGTAGACGACCTGCGTGTTACTGCTTATCCTGATAACCATTAAAAGTCAACACTACTATTTCTTTTTGATTTCTAGGTGATAAAGCCGACCCCTGTAAGTTCCAGGCGTGTAACGAGTACGCTGGATGTAAGGTGAACAAGTGGTCGGGGGAGGCGGAGTGTGTCTGTAACGCAGGATACTTCAGCGTGGACAGCCTGCCCTGTCAGAGCATCTGTGACCTGCAGACTGACTTCTGCCTCAATGATGGCAAGTGTGACATCATCCCCGGCCAGGGAGCAATCTGCAGGTGGGTGTGGATTAGTGGGAAATGATCTGCGTAAGTGTGTGTGCGGGAAAAAAAGGTCTGATCTTAATCACAGAAACAGATTTTCAGCAGTTTTGGCAGAAGGTAAGATTCTTAGCTTCTAGTTTTGACGTTGCTTGGCTGTATGTTGATGATGTGGAGTTTCAGAAGCATATTTTTTATTTGGTTCCTTATACTAGGGATGTAAAATGTGCAATAGCCTAATGAATTATAATCATAACCAACTGCATAGAATAAACATTTATTTGCACCGTAGTTGGCTACAAATAACAATGAACTGTATTTTCTGGCTTAAATCAAGATTGTTTTAAAGAAACTCACGTCAACATTTTGAATAAACTTTTTTTATTTCACTATGCTCTCTGGTACTGAATGTACTGAAGAACAATAAGCAACCTCAGAGTATATTTGATTAATATTGTGATCCATTTTTCAACTCCTGGATGCAAAATATCACATTTTGGGTCAGTGAAGTGTTTCTTATTATGTGGCGTTTCAAAACGTTTCTCTTTATTTTCTTATCTCAATTATTTCAAAATGGTCATCTGTGTGTGTTCTTGTTAATGTTTATGTCTTAACATGTGCATGTTGTCCAAAACAATCATATGCACGCGTCAATGTGTGTAACATGACGTGCCAGAAATCGCAATCAGTCACAACATGTTCTCTGGCTGTGTTGAAACTGATGTATGTGGTGCACTTTAAATTGAATAATTATAAACAGACAGAGAGGCGGCTGTGTGCCAAGATGAATGTGAACCTTTGATTTACTCTCTCCACAACACCATAAAACACGCAGGCAGCTCCAGATGCTGTTTGATTGTTGTTTACTTCATGCCTCCCAACCCAAAGTATTGCGTCGCTGAATCGAGACAGGAAACAGACTAGATGAGTTGTTTCAAAACAAGGATTTAATGACACATACAGAACATTATAATAGTTGTTGCCGACGATCTCAAGACAAACTGGATTCAGGATTCAGTCATTTTCTTTTTGTATATACTAAAATCATTAAACACAACATTAGAAATAAAAAACAAAGAACTATGACGTTGTTTTTCTGCTGTTCCCCTAATGCTTAAATCATTTAAAAAAGGAATTGGTCCGTGTCCAGTACCCTATTTTTGTTTCAGAGTGGAAATTATTGTTTTCTTTACTAATCCAAAACAACAAAAATAAAAAGGGAATAAATCACAGAGATTCTATAATACCTTCATCTCAATCGGGACTATAATGTTCTTGAATCATTGAGTGATTAAATTATTTTAGCTGACAAATTCTCCATTTTATCATCAGGTGTCGTGTCGGGGAGAACTGGTGGTACAGAGGAGAGCACTGTGAGGAGTACGTGTCTGAGCCGCTGGTGGTCGGCATAGCGATTGCCTCCGTAGCTGGATTCCTATTGGTGGCGTCCGGAGTAATCTTCTTCCTCGCCAGGACGTTACGGGATCAGTATGACAAGGATGAGTCAGAGGACCCCATACGGTGAGACAATCCACGTACCATATGGCTAAACTTCTCAACAGCCCTCGATCATTTAGATCTAGCAACTAATCCAATTAATACAGATTTTGCATGTTTACTTACCAGTGAGGGACACGGTGAGAAATCAAAAGGACCATGATTGTGATTGTAACCTAAACAAATAATTGTTCTGACAGGAAAAAAATACTTCTTCAACTTCCTAAACTCTGGAGAATCAGCTTACGTTGTGTGTGTGTGGCTAACCTACAGATCCACTGTATTTACTTTACTTTGTACTTATTTTTGAGATCTAAGATGTTTCCAAAGATTACAAATATGTCAGGCTCAATTTTGTATGCACAAAAAATAATGCACAAGAGACCAATAACATTTAAAAATGCATTCATATGAAGTTCACATCCAAAATGTGCAATTGAATTGTGACACCAGCTGAAACAGTATACATATGTGACCCTGAAAAAGCTAATTAAATGATAAATTACCCCGTCAGATTGTTTTTCCATAGTGAGCAAAAGCTGTGAAGTGTATACTCCAAAAATAAACAAATTTTACTTTCAGTTTGATAGTGAACAGAAACCCTCACATTTAGTGTGTTTGAAGTTTTTCTCTCCTCCACGTAATCCTTTTTGGATTAAAGGAGCCTGGTTACTTTCTTCAGAATAAGTTGAAACACCCCATGAATGTATCCTCAGTTAGACGGCCAAAATTATCCACGGCACCATCCCATTACTCCTCTAGACTTCAGGCAGGAGGGCTCCCTTTTTCTGGATATCTTTCTCTTCCTGTGCTGCTTTGATCCAGACACAAAGATACACAGAGTATCTGTTCACCATCTATCTCTTTGTGTGCGTGTGTGTGCCTGGCACGGTTTCCAAAGCAGTCCGTGAAGAATCACTGTGCTATAACCTAAGCCAGTTATCTGATCAGAAATGCTGCTGATCTCACACACCTACTGTACAGTTACACAATAGCTTCTCGAAGGTCTGGACACAAACAAAAAAGACTTATCTGAGGTTAAGGAGGGTTAATTTCTGCTGAAGTCAGATTCAATGCTGCTCAGTCACCTTTTTTCTGGCTTCCTTGACATTGTGACGTGAACTGATTATTTGTGTTGCTCCGCAGGCGAGCAGAGAGTGTCCCGTCTCTCGAGAGGGCGACTAAGTACAACCCCATGTACGAAAGTGAGGCCACCACAGGCTACAGCCACTACTACCGCCGCTATCCTGAAGCTGCGGTGTACAGCAGTGCCAGCGCTGAGGCCTCCACTGACTTCAGCAGCGACGAGATACGACACATCTACGAGAACAGTGAACTGACCAAGGAGGTGTGTGTGTGTGTGTGTGTGTGTGTGTGTGTGTGTGTGTGTGGGCTGCTACCCATGGGTATACTTAAAATATGTCCAAGCAGCATTGAGGAACTTAATTGTTCTTATTACTTTTAATATGAAGGGAACTGTTTTACCAGATGTCATACTAAGTTTCTGCAGCAAAAATACTGGAGTGGGTGATCAGGTTTATTGGCGATCACAGAGAAATTAAGAGGTGACCAGTGATGAAAAAAATACTCTTAACTTAAGTAAAGGCAGCAATGTGATGTTGCAGAAATGTTAACAAGTTACAGTCCTACATTTGAAACTTTTATTTTTGAAAAAAAACTGGGAATTGTCCCATTGTACAGTAGCATCAAAATATACTAATACATACTAGTTTGGGGTACAACAACTGATGTTTAGTCTGGACAGACGGGTACATTTTAGGGAAAGAAGATGCCTTATTTAAAATGAACCATCCACTTGCAGATGGTTACTGTGAGTGCTAACATACTCTGAGTGCCTTTTTGAAGCACAACTGAGTACAGTTATACCAAAGTGCAGGCCGGAGATGTGCCAAGGCCATCTGGATGCTGGATGGTAGTTAATGACACCAGACGGGCACATCCTGTCCCACAAGGATATTTGACCTGACAAGGATCTGAATTGGGAAATATCAGGTTGTAAACTTGTTCTATTACCAACTGGCATTTTTGCCATTAAATAGGAACCTCATTTGTTTTTCTTGTTATGGAGTGTAAAATGTTACGTTTTGTTTCAGCCACAGCCGGTTTACTGTTTATTTGCCTGTGATGTAATGTTCCCTCCCGACTGATACCATGTGTTTCTGCAGGAAATCCAAGACAGGATACGCATCATTGAGCTCTACGCAAAGGACCGACAGTTTGCAGACTTTGTACGGCATCATCAAGCGTAAGTGCCTCTCTTGTTTTTCCTATCGTACCGCAATGAGATAAACACATGGACCAAACTAACCAGTATATGAGGAAAACGGGAAGTGAGTTTGAGATACAGGAGTCTGGTCAAGATTCTGCTGAAAAATTGATTAAATTGTTTGTTCAGAGCTGGGGGAAGACGAAGAGTTCAAGCCACACTAAACCAGTTGGGAAACGGATTTATCATTCTTGAACCATCACCAATCAGGCCCTGAGCTGATTCAATTAGACAGAAAGCATTAGTGGACACAGGCATTCCTCCGTCTGCCAACAGTTTGGCAGTAGCAATGCGTCTGAGTGTAAAAGTGGAGGTTGTTTTAAGTCTTATTTGGCTGTATATCCCCAATCTGTATGCCAGAGAGATGCTTCTTGCCAGATACACCTGAGATAATATGTGGGTACGTTCATCAACTAAAGTCACTGGTTTACCTACAAAGCTGAAATACAATGTGTGTGTGTTTATATGTTCTGCAGTGTTGTGGACACACGCAGAGAGAGCTCCTCTGCACACACATGAAACTCTCCTGTGAATAAGGTAACTTTTCTTGATTGAAGAATGTGTAGCAGCTTATACTTTCAATGACTAGTCCTCCTGAGATATTTGTCAAAAATACCAGCTACACTATGTTTAAATAAAAGTTAAATACATAATATGGGGGAACAGTACTCAAAGATTTGGAAGACTGGTAGAAGTTCATATTGACCTCTAAAAAAGAAAATGGTGGCAGATATAATATCAAATACAGTAGATTACCAATGGTGCTGCAATCAATAAATACAATAATACATAAATAAGTACATTAACAGTTGAAGGAAAGGGGGCATATTAATATGTAATGCATATAAAAAAATAGCAAAAGAGGTTAAGCTCTAACAGTTTTGAACACCTAACTACAAAATGTATTTAAATATACGGATAGTGCCAGACTATTCCTTGGCGAGGAGCAGTTAAAGTAATTGCTCCATATCAAGACATTTTCCAGTACAAATTCAGGCTAGCTGTGTCTATGTGTTCCCTCATGCCAACCTTAGCTGCAGTCTGTAGCTTAATATTTACAGACTGGAGAGTGGTATGCATCTTCTCACTTTAAAAAAGAAAAACAAAACGTATTTCCAAACAATTCCAACAAAAAGTTAGATCATTCGTGGGCTCGCAGCATATTGAAGCCAAGATAGAAAAGGTGTTTCCATGAGCTTATGGAGAAATTCAAGTGAGACATTGTGTTGGCAGAAAAAAAGGATATGATTGTAGAAGATTAGTGTGTATATCTAATACATAAAAAATGTGGACACTGCATACTCACTCACCTTTTCCTACTGCACAGAAACATGCCTCTATGCTAGAAAAGTGAAGACTCCACTTTCTTCATCATGGCACTCACAATCTGAACTGGCTAAGACGGACTCATTCAGCACGCTGCTCTTTATTTCCTCGACCAACGACCCCTTTCTCTTTCTACGTATTTCCCCGAACTGTTGACTGTTCTTCCTCCTTCCTTTGTGCCTTCTCTTGACTGGTCGAGCTGTGTGTGACATCACGTGTTGCTACTGGATGTGTCCCTCTGGACTGCATCCTACTACTTGAAATGTTCATCTCAATACTGTCTTCAGTAGTACTTTTGTTTAGTGGAACAATCGGTTTTGTCAACTCATGTCTGTCAATTCTTAGAGGGAACAACTTAAAGACTGTGAATATGTAAATAGTGTCTCTGTGAGGTTGTTTGCTAGTTAAGATGTTATTCTCTACTTTCTTTTTTGTCTCTATAAAACTTAAATGACTCTTCAAGTCTTCTCAGAAAGGCCCTGAGAGAGCTGCTCTTTTAAGGACAACGGTGCTATTCTGATTCATAATGTGGTGGTCTATGATGACTTTTCTGGTTGTGACTTACATAAAAGGATTGATAAAAATATCTTGACTGTCTCACAGTAGCCGTTAGCTTAGCTTAGCATAAAGACTGAAAACAGGGGTCAAACTTCTTAACTTAGACTGCCCAAATGTAACAAAATCTGCATATACTTAAGTTTATATTTTACAAAGAATATATAAAGTGTCAATCATGCTTATTAGTGCTGGTAGATTTTGTTATGTTCAAACAGAACTAAGCTAGCTATTTCCTTCTTTTCTTAATTTTCCAGTCTTTTTGCTAGGCTATGCTAAGAGCTGCTTGCTTGAGCCAATGTACAGATACTAGTGGAATACATTTTCCCATTTAAATCTCTATAAATAAGGGTATTTTCCCAAATGTCAAGCTATTACTAGAAGTTAGCAACATTAAGTGGCAGTGTATGTGTTATTGTTGATCATCAATGTAAAAGCACACTTTCACAATCTTAGCGAATTCCAGCAATATTCTTTCTTTTGACAGGGGATTTCTCTGCCGTTTTTACGTCTCCTTTTATTATAAGCTTTGGTGTATGTTTGTAAAAGTACGGCGTAGTAGACATAAGAAAGTGAAAACAGTGGTGATGGGAGCATGAACCCTCTATAGCTCTGGGATCCAGAAATAAGTGAAAACACGTTTCAGTGGAAAAATGCTCCGGGGCAAGCGGCCCTGGGATCTGATGAAATGGTTTGCTTTCAGATGTCATATGTAATGCAACTGAAAAGCAGGCTGATAAACAACATGCACTCTTTGGAATGACAACCTCAAGCTGAAGTCTCCCGCTGAAAAAACCTCAAGGTTACAAGCAATTCCTTTAAAAGAAAAAAATGATCCTGTGACTACGTGTTTGGCTATGATCCTGCTGTTCATTCTGAAAGCTTGCAACAGACTATTTGCAGCATGCAGTTTGTAAGAGTCCGCAGGTTTGTTTGATTATTGTCGGCAAGTGTGCCCATCAGAATCAGATCCATAGATTATATCTTAGCTTCTTGTTTACATAACATACTCCACGTCCTTTGCCCTTATTCTAAAGGTCTATAAGCAACAAACACCGGTGAAGCAGACTCTTGTGACAATTTCATGCCTTTTTCAATCTGCAGTCAGTTTAATTTTTTTGTGCATGCTTTTTTATGGTATCTGCATACAGTTTATGTCAACATCCTCCATCTGCCACCTGTACAAACGGACAGTCATCCCATACAGTTTTGTCATGTAAATAACATTGAAGATATTAGATATTTGATAGTTGTAGGATGTAAATCATGTGTGTCTCAAATGTTTCAATAAATGAACATATTTTTATACTGATAACTGTTTCACCACTTTAACAGTGTTATCAAACCGTGCAGCTGTGTAAATAACTAATACAACTAATTGTAACATTACAAAAATACAACATATATGTAAAATACAGACTGTGCTCGGTGGTAAAAAGTAACTTGGTACATTTACATCACCATTGTACTTTAGTACTTGATTATTTTAAACGACTTTGTAAAATAAGATGTTTCATTATTAAATTAAAATTGCCCAAAAGCCACATTGGCCAGCAACAATACATTTTAATCTTGAAAAAAAAAGAATTATGTAAAATATATCTTTGCTTAAAGGTGGGGTAGGTAATTCACTTCAGAAACACTTTTTGTTATATTCCATGGAATGCTCTTAACATCCCGATAGCAATGAATACATTAAATGCTTTGACAATAAATACATTAAAAAATGTCAACTGTGGAAGCCGTGGCGCTGTAAAAAGCACGGCCAATTATTAATAAAATAACTGGATGGCCTACCTGCCTGTCAGCCTTCCATCTCGTCCACAAACTTATCTCGTGCCCTCATTGGTCATGTGTGCGTTCGTGTGTATTGCAGGAGGGGCTCTGTAAGGAAGTCTGAAGGAAGGGGCAGATTTTTTTCGGCTGTGTAGTTTCAAATTCTAGCTGGTGGTTTCTCCATTGTTACCTACCCTACCTTTAATTGCTATTTTAAGAATATTTTACAAATAATATTTTTTACTTTCAATTGAATGAATAGTTCAATTTCTGGAAGAAAATGTACTTTCTTGCTGAAAATCAGATGAGAAGATGTCACATGATATCACATCAGTAGCCAGTTAGCTTAGCCTATTTTAGTATAAAGCCTTGCAAAAAATGAAAACAGTTAGCCTCTGTCCAAAGATACCAAAATCTGTCGACCTGTAACTCCTAAAGGAAGGGGTCGTAACATAGCTGTTTCCAAATGTCCAACTATTCCTTTAAAAACCTTGAAACATGTTTCTTGTCATTGTTAAGAAAACACTAAGAGGGAGAACAGACTTGGTTGACTTGGTCTCAAAATGCTAGCTTTTTCAATTTTGCTGTTGGACAAGATGTTTAGCTGCTCCAAGATAATCCAGATTAGTCTCAACAGGTATGGATTAGGCCCGTCTGTGGGAATAACAGTTTCCAAAATAGTGCATACTAGTAATCAGCCTGCGTCACACACACTCATAGATGCCAGGGTGTGGCGAGTAAAATACATTGTGTAAACATGTTTCTGGTGAAATTCTACATTTGTGAACTTTTTGTCTCTGTTCTGCACTATATTAAATCCAGCTGCTGTTGCTTTTGTTATTTTTTAGAACGAGCAAAGTTCCAGAGGTTTGGATTATACATTTAGTGTGGTTTGGTGAGATCAGCGGGTGTGTTTTTGACAAGTGATGGCGTTATTTAATTTAATTCAATTACATTACATTTTAGAAAAGTTTAAAACACCATGGTTACATAGCAGGAGAGTTTGCTTGCTTTAAATGGCTCAGTTTGGATCTTTCACCTGCATGAAGTCAGCGGGTGATAAATGGAAAACATTGAGTGAGGGGGGAAATAATTACTGCATGCTGACAGACTGACTGTCGTTCTGGAGTGAGTAACTCATGAAAAGTCCCATTTATGGCAATGTTTCTGACCAGGTGGGTCGATGTTTGCTCCAGTTAGTTATTGAGCGTGTAATTTATGGCAATTGTGTGCAACTAGTCGGTGGAAAACCCCTTCATATGTTGAATTGTCATATTTGTTCTCTCTGGGTGAGGGTAAGGGGTTTTGCAATGTACATTTTGTCACAAGCAACAACCTCCTTGTGCCGCCCTAAAAAGTTGTTTTCTGTCAGGCAGTCTTTCTCTCTATACAAAATAGAAATCCCTGTGCTCTTAATACAAAAATATCAGTATTGCAACTAACTATTTTCTCCAAAAAATACCCCTTAAGCATTCAAGATAACTAATACATCTGAATATCAGTATTTATACTTTAAATTATTTGACAATTTATGGATTTTTGCGGCTGTCGAGTGTTTATAGATAGCAGATTCTGCCTCTGCATGTTACAAATTGAGTCACATTTCATATAGAGAAACTTAAATGCGCTTTCGTGGAATCTGGTCACAGTTTATAGGAAGTGAGGAGTATGTGGTGTTATGGATGTGTTGAAACCTGATCCTCCACAAGAGGGCCATGTATCTGTCTTCACTCAGAGGAAAGCCTCTATATCACCTTGATACAATTCACTTTTGTTGTTGTTTTTATTTAGTATACCATTTATCAGGGCATTAAAGTTATTATTATACAAATTGTACTCATTATAATATTTGTAATCAAATATGTTTTAGAGCCATTTGAACCTTTCTTATGTCTTAATGACATGATTGTGTGTAAGTGAGCAGGCAGACAGAGGGAGAGAACGATTTATCAAGAGTAGAAATCTGTGTAGACACTTGAAGTAATCCCTACTCCATCTTTTCCTGTCTTCCTGTCTCTTCCTTCAACAACAGCATGTAATTATGCTGATAAGCCGTCTGAGGTGTTATGTGATATCTCAATAAGTCTGTGGCTCATTCTCACGTGTCTCTGAAGACTCTTGTTAAGCATCTTATAAAAGTCTGCTGATTTATGAGCAGACGAATGACAGAGTTAGCGGGGTGGCCCTGACCAGCTGGCTGTAAAGCTGTGCAGACAATACTGTATGTTTACCTCTGTGTACCTGTAGCACGAAAAACAGTTTGTACCAGCAAGTCGTTACCACTGAACCTGTTGGACTTTTCTCCCAGCAGTTGTTTGGGGACGTTTGTGTTTTCTCTTTAAACAGCTTAAATTGATTAAATATTTTATAGAAACAGTTTATTACACATGACTGCCATGATAATTTTATATTCACTTTCATCTCTTTCTATTTTTTGTTATTGCATTCCTTTTCTTTCTATTTGCACTCCTCCTCCTCACGTCATTTCCTTTTAAATCGTGTTATGACTATGTGTTTTCTTTCTAAGCTTGATGTGGAACCATTAATGTCTCCAGTATTTTTTTATGTGGGTGTGTATTAGACGGAGCAGCATGGAAGACGAGAGTGAATCGGGTCGAGGGAGACAGAATCAGAGTAGGCACGTGGCTGGATTACTGCTCTGTTTTCGGTGCACGTGCCTTACCAGCAGTGTGGCCGGTAGGATTGCAAGTCATCGTTTGCTTTTTTCCAAGTCCCACTGGCCTGATAGTCATTTTCATAGGCCCAAATCTGCCTATTGTTGAACACTCAGCATTTATCACCAGACGATTGAGTGGTTACAGAGGGATATTTGATTGTGTGATTACAAACTCCAGATCTATGTTCACGTTTCTCTATTTTCTTTTTAAGACAATAAAACAATACGCCAATGCTCTGTTTACAGTTTAATGTGCTGCCCTCAAGTGTTACGTTCAGTTAACTCAGGTTTAAATCAGACTGGGCTCTGGTTTCAGACAGAGGGTGAAAAGAGGTGCTACAACACAGGCAGTATGAGAAAAAGAAAGACCTTTTTGAACATTAAAGCATAAACATGCCCCAGTAGAGGCACAACACACAAATATGAACCTGGTAATTAGCATAATATGTCCTCTTTAACTTTGGTAAGACAAAAGTGTCTGTGCAGTAGTGAACATCCAACAACTATTGCAAAATGTCGTGTAACTTGGAGGGGTGTAGCATTTTCCAAAGACGAACCTATTACATTTAACCGAGAAGATCTGAATCACAGGGCGGATTCACATTAGAAAATAAATGGCCTGAGGTCTGCGCTCTACAAATGCCCTTCCTTTCATAATGTATTTTTCATCTTTTATGATTTTAAGGAAGGAAATAGGAAGTTGTTTTATTTGTATGTCTTATTCTGCATTTATGAGACAAAAGTCTTTACTTTTTAGTATTTCATTCTTGTTTTTATTAATAATGGCAACAAAAGTAATATAGCATAGACAAACTTCAATCAATTCCCTGCAAAGTAGAATAGTTGGACTTCCTATTGTGCATCCAGTGCAGACAGATTAACATCTTCAGGTCGATACAGGCCTCTGGTGACACATTTAGCGTAATGGCTTTTTGATTTCAGCGTGCCTTTGCATCACCCCGTCTTTCAGGCCGCATGTTTTTACTTCTCATTCCCTAATCCCACTTGAAGCATAATTTCAGTGTTTTGGCAATTAAAACATGATGTATTGCAGTTTAGGATAGTTACATTCCTTTCTCTTGCTTGGCGGTCGCTGCTAAGGGCTTCTCTCTCAGTGACTCTGAGGCCTTGTGGTTTGTGAGGTAACCTCTCTTAGGGTGATTTATACCACACAGATGTTCTAGGATGAGCAGTTATCCTGTTGGGAAGCAGTGTCTATGTGTGTGTGTGTGTGTGTGTGTGTGTGTGTGTGTGTGTGTGTGTGTGTGTGTGTGTGTGTGTGTGTGTGTGTGTATATATGTGTGTGATGCCATTAGCAACAATACAGAGCTGTCCAAGGTATTCTGCAGGGGAAACACTTAACGTCCTATGGCAGCGTAATGAAAAGAGCTTTTTTTCCCCATTTAGGAAAATACCCTCCTGACTATCTGGTTGAGAAAAGGCAGGTTAGTGCAGTTATATTATATCACAAGGGTCCGCAACCTTTTTCTATCTGACAGCCCTTATAAATAAACTCAAGTAGGCATCCACCTTCACAGACAACACCGTTTTTCCAAAGTGTTCATTACAAGCCACGACAGCGACGCCAATATCGCTTTCTTTCACTTAGTCTGTGTGTGTGTGTGTGTGTGTGTGTGTGTGTGTGTGTGTGTGTGTGTGTGTGTGTGTGTGTGTGTGTGTGTGTGTGTGTGTGTGTGTGTGTGTGTGGGTGGGTGTGTGTGTGTGGGTGTGTGTGTGGGTGTGTGTGTGTGGGTGGGTGTCAGTGTGAGTGTGTGTCATTATGTTGAAATATGGTTTCTGAGACACCTCCTGTAGTTGGAACTACCACAGAGGATGTTTTAAGTACTCTGCCAGGTGTTTATTTTTATGTCTGTGGACAGATTTTGTGACTGCGATAGCGCCTCAACTATGCACTAAGCAGTCACAAAACTTTACAGGTGTGTAGTTTTAGTTAAAAATGTAGGCTGAGATGGTGGCAAGGGGGCAATCACCCCCCCCCCCTCCCTAACTTGAGGCCTTTTTGACATTTGACCATTTATTTATTATTAGCTATTTATTTAAGCTATGTATTACTTTTAGAACTATTTACATTTTCATAATTTTTTTGTTATTTTACCAATTTTTTAAATCCGTGTTTTATCTCTTTTTAGATAATTTTTTTTTTTTTACTGTAAATCCATAACTAGCTAAACATTTAAATTGTAAACTATTTTTAGCTTTGTTTGCTTGCTTGCTAAATAGTTTCGTTGTTGTGCTCACTCAATTGTAATGTGCTGTGCATGCATTGCTGTCTCAATTGTTGTGTATAGTCCAATTGTAATTTATATTTTTAGCAGCAACTTTTCAGATATTTAGGACCTTACATGAAGGTATTTCTCCTTTATCAAAATGGTTGTTGATGTCATATATTTCCATGCAGAATAACTCATTTTCAATCAAAACCTGAGCTCTCATACAGCAGAATAAATCTAAAAGTCAAAAACAGCCCATAAAGTCATCCCTCTTTAATCAGAACTAGATTCACAACAGGTTCTTTGGCAGCAACACTAACCAGTTGGCCATGTATCCGCTCGTATCAGTTTAATTTTTGGCGCTGGCTATCTCTCTGTTTTGGTGATTGTTGTTGTGTTGTACAAACACTCAAACTCCAGTATAATAGGCTTAGACAGGCGGTGTGAAACAACCTTTGATGCGATGAGGCATTTGTCCCCATTGACGTAAATAAAAAGCCAAATTAACACTCTTCATTTCTCAAAGTAATGGAGCATTATTCATAACTGCGCTGGAACTGCTAAATCTATGTGTGAAAAACATGATCTCAGCTGTCTTGTTCCAAACCTTCTGTCAGCAGAGACCTCAGCAGGGGCATGTGGGAACAAACAGTTCTTCACATGGGAATGAATGAAGCAGGGAAATCTCTTCTGACCCGCCAACACTCTGGCATTTAGCGACGGACAGGTATGTCCTTTCTGGATTGGGAAGGATCTGCTCATATCCACTGAGCTCCAAAACTCATTCCCTTTTAGTGGCCACAGTGTTGACTTTTAGGAAAAAAATGACTCCCTTATGGTAAATAAATACTTTTTATGTGTTTATGATTTTATGGTATTGGTTTTGTGAGATCATCCAGAAGCCTTTGTTGTTTTTGTTGCATAACTGCCTGCTTCGTTCTGACTGTTAATGAGGGAAGACAAGACAGGATTCTGGACACATTTAGATCAAAGTCATAAATGTCTCCCCTTGTTTTCTTTGGTTGTCTTTCTTCGTCGAATAACAACACTCAATCACTCCCAAATGTACTCTGATCATTTCACATTTTAGAAACTTTGATGTCAAAGTCAAACTCGAGCTGCTGTTTGTTCACCACATTGACCCAAATATTAGGCTGTTGACACTGGCAGCTCCCGCTAAACCGTAAAGAGCCGAAGTCATAACGTCATGTGTTACGTCTGTTGCATTAGCTTCTGTAACTTAATGCAATCTCTTATTCAGCATTCAATTATCCTATGTGTAAGTGTGTTTCTGCTGGGGTTTACTTTCCATACACTGAGACAATTCAGCACCAACTACAGCAATTAATAATAGAGGTAAAACTTAAATTATGACCTTGCAAGCATACAAAAAAACTAATGAGGTTTACTTTTCACTAAAAGTCTAAAATATTGAATTAACAATTATAAGATGTTATTGTTTTAAGTATCACCTTTATCTAAAAATATTAAGAAAACAATGGGGTTTGAATGATATTTCTTACTTGTGGAACAGAGCCCGGAAAGTCACCTTAATAGTACAAACTTCTGCCCCAAATAAAGTATGAGTTAGTATTTTTGAATGGCTTTGATTTGCTTTAATTCAATAGCACAGCAATAGATAGACAGGAAAGGGGGAAAGAGAGGGGAAGACATGAAGCAAAGGTCCGCAGATCGATTTCGAAACCGGGCCTCTAAGATCTCAGCCTCAGTTACTGGGCGCCCCTACCATTTAGATTTTTAAACAGATGTGTGTCTTGTGTGTGTGATGATTGACCTGCTGGCAGACGTTTCAAGGCCTCATTTGGAAGAGAAAGACACTGTGGAAAAGGAAAACAGTCTGAGACAGCTTGCAGGTGTAGAAACCAGAGAGGACCAAAAGCCCCTCTGAGACCTTCTGCTCATGTGGAGGGAGCAGCTGGAAAGTCTAATTTACTGTAAGTCTGTAAATGGCAGACAGTAGCAGGACCATCAGACTGTTCATCATCAGCAACAAGTCGAACCAAACACAAACGCCATTGGATATAATATCAACAGGCAGAGACTCAATATGTTTCTACTCAACTTCCTCTCAATGTTTACAGGATTTTTTCTTCTATAAATATTTTTCCTGTAAGGATCCTATATATTTTTTCCTCTGTAATTTTGAATATTGCTACTTGATGTATGACATTTTAAGCATTCAGTCGAAATCGGCTAGTTTTAATCTAAAAAAATAGTTCCTCTTGACATTCGTTGGCTTTTTGTCTTCGGGGGGTTTCTGTCTTTTTTGTCCTAATGCTTTGACAGCTTTGAAGAAGTTTAATGTTCTTAACCTTAACCGCCTTCATTTGATTACAATAGTTTGAATAGGAGTAGATTGAATAAGTGTTTTATAGCAGTAGTAATTACAAGACTATAAAGAAGTCCACAGATGATTGGTCATTGTCATTATATGTAGTTTAGTCAGTGAGTAGTAAAGACAATAAATGATGATGTGAGCTTGTTGCTTTTTTGCATTAAAAATGTTGTCCTCGAAAGCATTTTCAAGGGAGATTTTCCAAAACAATCCCAGCTCAAACCGTGTCATCAAGCATCAATGTAACTTTGGCAAAAAATGAAGCCAGATAAATGTTCCCTGTAATCGATTGGTTCCGTGAGCTCCACTTTTATGAAATTGAAATGATGAAATGAATGCACAACAGTGCCTGAAATTGAAGCCAATCTGAAATCCTGCATGCTCAGACAGTAAGATAAACACTGTTTATAGTTAGTGGGCTAGAACAAGAAAAACCACCAGTATGTTTTAGTACTGACATTTTCAAAGTTGAACACAGGATTCCTTAAGGGGGGACTCCAAACAGTTTCAACTGAGGCATCGTATATAGAAATGAAAAACAATTACGTTGGTTACTCAGTAAAACAATAGTTACAAATGCCTTAGGACAGACACATCTTTTTCAACAAGCAAAGGGTTTCTTCTTGCATGCGTCAAAAGCACTCTTATTGCATCTTTAATGTTTGTCAAGAGTCAAATCCTGCATCCTCCAGGGTGTTAAGTTGTGGATCAACTGCTCACCCAGGTTGTTGAGCTGTTTATCCAACCAAATAATATTGGACAACTGGCGTGAGATTTAATAAATTAGTAAAACGTAAATGCCTTTTACTCATAGGACCAAAAAATGGACTATCCACGGCATGACAGGTTGAAAGACTGAGTTGTGTTAAATCATAGAGCGGAGAGTTCAGTTGTACGTCACATTGTGTTTCTCTACATTTCTCCTGGGACAAGCTGCTTTCTGGGCCTGAGAACAGTTATTAAA